TGGAGGAAAAAGTAAGGAGTAGCTTTGCTCCCCCCGCCTCGCTAATACAGTTCAAACATACAAAAGTACGACACCAACATAAACAACTGTCTAATGTTGACATGCGCGCCTAGATCAGGCCCTGAAATGGGCAGTTCTTTACACGAAAGATACATCTGTCAGCCTACGCAAACGCTGGCGAGACCTCAGAGGTCGGACCAGCTTTGTAAGGACGTAGTCAGAAGTGTATGAAGGCATGTGCCGTAGCTAATTTGCATCCGTTTCCCTGTGGCCATGCAACTGGATTTTTAATTACCTTTCGAAATGCGACTGCGTGCGAGGGCTTTAGACTGAAATGCTCGAGCAAAAGGAAGTGTCTGCGTCCCCTCTTGGAAGCGCGATAGAACGGTCTACGCTACTCCAATGCACCTGCGAAGACTTCCGATCGCAGTTGACGGGATGTGGACTGGCGGTCTGGGTGGTAGATCGTCTGGGTCAGTCACCAATTGGACCCCAATTAAAACTCAAACTTTCCCAAACCTATGGTCGCAGTGTGGTTGGCTGAAAATAACCTGGAATTGGTGGACCGATGGTCTATATAATTGGAAAAACTCAGTTGCTTGTAAGTGACGTCCGGTGATCTGACCTGACTGTAGGACAGAATGCGGACGTTCCGTTTTGTTTGGAGCCCCGCTTTAGGGTCTTTGTAAACAGTCACATAGAACCGAACAAAACAACTAGTTCATCTAATGAAGCATTCAGTTCAATGGCCAGCTGGATCCCAGTTGCTTCCCCTGGTCTGTGGTTGTGGGACGGCTGTCTTACGACAGCAAATACGCTGTAGGAGGCCATTCCAGTTCTCGGTTTTTTGCTTTTAATACTTTCGGGGTACTAATCATTAAGTAGACCCAACTGCGAAAGACTCGGCGGCCTCAGTAGGGTTTAAATCCACGGCAGCAGGATCAAGGCTTGAGTACAGTAAATACTGATCGCCTTACTTACGAGGCCCCGACCGAGAGCCATGACTTTGACCACATTTAGGTCAAATTGCCTGCCTGACCTAGTGCAACGCATGGAATCCACTAATTCTGACGCAGTAAGCAGACTGTCCAAGCAGGATTTCCTGAACAATTAATTTAGAATCCACCAGACGACCGCTGGGCGCACTAAATGATGTTTTTGTTTATTAATCGCTCGTCACAATTAGTTCATCTGTAGTTGTCATAGACTGGAGTTGATAGACAAGACTGAGCACCCGTATACCACCTCAAAAGCACAACAGATAAGAGAACACCAACCCCACGTAACTTACAGGCTTCGTGGTCTCCAGTCACGCACCAAAATAAGTTTGCTTATAAAGACCTTCGGCCAAGTTAGAATTGCATATCTTGAGGGAACTATGATAATTCTGGCGCTGGGCACCAGGCGCATCATACCGTTCGTTTACTATCACTTAAAAAGTCAGACCTATAGGGACTCGTCACTGTAAAGAAAGGCACTAGCTGACAGAGAGACTAATACTTCGTGACGTCCTGGGTGCGAAGCACCAGACCCTTGAAACTATTTATAGTCGTAAGTATTCAGACATGATATCGAAGCGTCCATATGATTGGGGCATGTGACCAGAGGACAGACGAAATCAAAACAGCACTCCTATCGCACAGAGGCCACGTGGTTATATCGGTATGTTGCGTACACGACCGGCAAGGGCGCGCACATAAAGTAGAAGACACGGAGAAACCATCCTCTGAAAACCCTCCATCGAATGAGTGCGCAACCAGCTAATGGCGAACGTTAGTTGGGATGGGTATTTGGGTTGCGGCAACAAGGTTGGTACGGAAGCTAATCGACAACTACCAAAGGCCGAGTGACGTGGGTCCTGCATGAGGTTAGTTACTAGCAACGGTAACCAGGGGGACGATTGGAAAATGCGTGAGCTAGTGTGATCTCCTGACGATCGAGCCTTTGTAAGGGCGTTGGCAGCCGCATGAGCTCGGGATAGTACAGGCAGGCAGAAAATCAGTGGTATCAAATCTGAAGGGGAGGCAGATACTCCAAGATTCCAGGACCTCTGCAATGTTAATTGGTAAAGCACGAGGTGTTCTCACTGACGATACAGTTCTGAATTCGGGTAGTAAGAAGCAGTTGCGATTGCGAATCCGTCCAGCCTGGCTAGAAGAGGCCCTTTTTCTGGCCAGATATCGGTTGCTGTTATAGGTAAAAGGGTGGGCCAGTGTGCTTTGAGCGCTTATAAATTCCTCGTCAACGGACTTGCCGAGTCAACGCTCCGGTAACATATGGCGAACTAAATGACTGAAGTGGTTATTCCTAGTAATGAAAAGTAAACTTGCGGAGCGCAGATGGGTATAGCGCTGACTTGAGTGACTGTTACATAACTTACAGAAAGCACAGACCTTTGTATAAAACTACGGAATATTTGGTCCAAGGAAAAAACTGCAGAGCAATTACTGTCGTCTGATCCGGTGGGGGGAAGAGAAACTGCAGGACAGAGGCAAGAGGTGGAAATGATCAGGTGCTCAAAAATACCGTCTCCGCAAGATGGTGCCGTACAATGGCCAGGCAGCAGCAGCGGCAGCACAGATGATAAGGGAAGTAGACACTTGAATGACCACGCCATCACCCTAACCCATTTGACGCAGTGGAATCGGGGTGGTGCTATTTTACTATCCCAGCTAGTTCCAGGTCCTCTGTGCCGAAACAAGAATTCAAGAAAGAGGAGACTTTCGAAGCGCCGACTTCACTCACCCCCTTACAAATTCTCCATCTTCCATTGGCCGGACTGGTCGGCCAGGCGGTTATGCTCCGTCTCTCCTGTGTGCCGTACGCGATCTGGACACTCAACCTGCAGAAATAAGTCTACACTCGCGTGGGCATCACATCACAATTAAGGGGGCGCAGCAAACTGGCACACACTCTAGAGGATTCCGTTAGGCCATCTGTTGTCAATCCCTTACGAGGCGGAAACGAAGTGTTGGGTGAGTCTGCATCCATCGGGTCGGACGAGTTAGGACACAGTGGTTAACCCGACACAAGACCTCTGTTTAGCCATGCCAAAACACGGCTGCTCAGTCCGTTTTCTACACACCCGGTTAAAGCGCCTTGAAGGCAGCAAGAGTAGATTGACCACTGCGCGCAGTCAGGCATTTGGCACGACTGTCACTTCCTTAAAACCATTAGCACAGCAGTCGGACAGAAACAGGAAAAGACACAAAAAGACAAGAATGTATATGCAAATTTACATGATCTACAGAACCTCAGAAGAGGATGTTTTGGGTTAAATGATCAAGTGACGGTTTTCACGACCAAAGATGCCGGCCGACTGTGTCTTCTTCCTTGTCGAAGGAGAGGAAACACAAGAAGGGGGAAAATCCGTTCTAGACGCTCTCCATCAGTGTGGACTTCAGCTGGAGGTCAACGTCGGGCTGCCACGTACAGCAGTTAGTTAAGGGTCAACAGGCAGAGGGATACAAAGTGCGCGAGCCCAAATCACTGCAAACAAGCGTACACATAGGACGGATATACCCCTGCTGAGACCTCTTTAAGTACTAAAAACCTGGAATTTCCCACAAGGATGCCCCTATCCTAGTCGTCTAGTTAAAAAAAATTAGTAAAGACTCATGCCCCAAACAAGGATCGAACTTCCGTGCGAACAGGATAAGGCTAACTTACATGGGCTGTAAAAAGGAGCTAAAAAGAGTCAAGTGAAAAAGCATTTAAAAAGTCCTGAAGCAGTCCAAAGTTCTACAGCTCCCCATATTCACAGATATGACGATAGCAACAGTAACAGAAAGAAGAAACGCTGGATCACCTGCCAGGAAGCTGAAACATGGACAGTACCCACGTGGGTGTTCAATAGAACAACTACTAATATCATGATTACCACAACAAGGGTTCTTCCTGAGGGCATAAAAAATAAGTAGACTGTGATTAGAACGCGATATTGTTTAAGGAATTCATACAAAGGACCAGTTTTAAAGGAGGTGACGACAGGGTACGAGAATGAGGACCACTCGGTTAACAGGTGGCCTTGCGCAAGACCCCAGGGAGGTTGGGGTTAAAGCTAGGACGCGTGAACAGGCACCTGCTGGGACTTAGCGTAAACCCACTTGTAGTACGGGAGAGTCCTTATTCCCGTGCTTAACCGAGCAAGCAACTGGATCCAATCTACAGTTGGTGGCGTATCTCTGGAATTTGGTAACCGAAACTTTGAAATGTCTTTTCTAATAGAAAGGATTATTTAGGTGGGATTGTAGGGCCCGCTATCATGCGGCATAATTGCAAGATATTTTAGTCACACCACTACATCGGTCTTCGGAAGTGTTTTTTTCCGGTCACCTGGAAAAACTAAATTCGGTAAAATATGGCTACTTAATTAATTTGCATTTTCTTATTGATTTCCGACACCCTTCTAAATTTAAACATGTCTTTTAAAAAAACATGCACGAAATATCCTCTCTCTACTCATTTGCTAACAAATTACGTCTCTAAATTTCATACTACAGAAATTAGCTTAAGGTTTAAAGAAGTCTCAATTATGTGATTCTTGAAGAACTTGAGATGTCCATTTAGATAGGACCGTATCTGTCCGTTTATTAACGCCCTTCTTTCAAAATTAAAAAATCCTTCTGAGTAGATTTCGAAGACAGATTTTAATACTCTATAATACACGTTTGGATTTATAAAGGGATCGAAAATCGATGGGAAGATTGTCTATTACATAAATAGTCCTTTCCTTTCCATGTGCGGTCTTAGCAGGCGGCCGGCATTCGAGCATGACTGAAATACCTTTGAATTATGCCACACGATAACCAACATTACAACCCCATCTAAGTAACCCTTTCTAATCGAAAACACATTTCAGAAGCCCGCCTAGCAGTCCCCCTGATAAGTCCCCCACCGTATATCATTACAAACATAAAATCTACCTAAGAAGTTATGGAAACAAAGCAACTTGCCGACAGAGTTTCAGGCAAAAGGAGTAACAAAAAAGGAAAAGGATATCATCGACCGAGGAGATCGAAGGTCCCAGTGCCAATCCGAGTGGGGTTGCCCACAATGATGCTCTCAGTGACGCCTACGAAGGTAAGGAAACAGTGTCAGCAGTGGCAACGATAAAAATAGTAGCATTTATCTTAACAGTTTTGGTGGTTGCTTTATAGGATGGCATTGGTCTTCCTACAATCCAGATGCTGTGAGGTGAAAGGCAACTTTAGGCTCGGCGTCTTCAATGGTGCGCCTGTTTTCCGTGGGAGGTGGGGGGCTGGTGGCCAAACTGCTTCTAGATTTTTCTTCTCCTCGGGCAGCCATAAGGTCTGAAGGACGTTTCATCAGTTATCGTGGATGTGGTTTACCAAGTGGCGCCAGACAGAACATATTTGAGTTCTCGACTTGTTGCATGCGAGCCAGTCTAACGTGTTTGTTACGGACCACAACCCCGGACATCTCACATGGCTTTCCACCCTTCCTCTTGCACAACAGCAGCTTACTATGTAGTAGTTCAGGAATTTTGTACGTGCGCTACATTCCCCGGTCATCAGGGATCCGTTCTTAAGGTGATGATCTCGGCCTTTGCGGTCTCTCTTTTCTCCAGGATGTCTGATTGTACGACTTGATCCTTCTGGGATATGCCCAGAAACGGGATTAGGCTACATATATGAAGTCGTTCGAGTAGGTTGGGGTGTTTTGTGGGGCGGGATTTGTTAGATGTGACATATTTCTCGTGCTACCAGTGTTTCTGAGACTTTAGTCGGTTCTCCGTCGTCAAATAATTCGGCGCATAACATGAATTTGAAGTTTCAATAACTCGCCGGCCTCAGGTTGAGCAATTTTGTTCTTGCTATGCAGCCTCGGTTTTTTAAAGAATGTCTGGAGGATTCAACAACTGCCTCCGTTGCTAGTTAGCAGCTCCAAGGAGGGGAGGGGGAGGGTGAATGAGCATTTGTTGAGGGTGGTTGATCCGTTGTCACCGCATCCGCATCGTATGGACGTGTTGTCAGGCCTTTTCCTTTCGATTTGCCGAAGTTCATTGCGGTTACCTTGTCCTGGCTCTTGTCTAGTTAGTAGCGTATAACTTTGAACGCCAGAGGAATGTCGATGTGGCCGCTTTTGGGGACGGCAACTGACAACCACGTCCATAATGCAATCCACGCTATATCTGAACTTCCCCAGTCCAAAAATGGTCGTCCTTGTACATCGAAACTGTGGACAGTTTCTTTAACTAGAGTTGCAAATTGAGGGCTTGGATCTAGTCTCCGTTTATCTAATTTATGCTCGAGTAGGTGGGTACGTAATTTTTAGCCGATTTCACAAACGCAGTTGCGGTCTCTATCATGGTAACATATTTTGTAGTCAACTACATAGATTTCTCTGAGCAGCGGTGTGTTGTCGGGTTGCAGCACATGGTGACGAACTGTGACAAATGGTCTACGGCCAACGGTCCCTAACGTTAGGCTGAAGCAGTCAACAGACCGCTCCAGGTGACTCCCTTGATGTAGGGAATGGCTTTCGAGATTTCAGACTGTCACGCCACTGGAACTCTTAAATTAACCAGTTTGGGTGCATTTTCTTCGCAACCCGTGTCCAGGAGCCACAAGAGGAGGTCATTGAGGGCAGCGAGTCTGCGCGCCTTGCAAAGAAACGAAATAGGCCGTATCCCATCCTACAAGCAGGATAGATGAACTCCACTCCCACGTGACTTGATATTTCTGAGATCAGCTGAGAGGACGTGGGCATATGGCCTAAATGGTACAGCAGACGACCCAAGCGCGGTGACCAGCCAACCGGGTTCACTCTTCAGGGATTCGCGGTCTGAGGTATAGTTGGCCCATTAAGGGAGCTAAACCAGAAATGGTTCTGCTCGTAGCATTTCATACCGCCAGATGTGTCGGGTAAAAACATGCAAACGTGGAAAGCCAAGGTAAGATGAACAATACACCGAAACCTGCAGCCAGCGGCTATTTTATGCATTGGATTCTGCAGCGGCCGTGACAACGCAGTCTAGGATCGGTCTCGATGTTCTCAGTGGAACAAATAAGAGCGTTAGAGGACAAACCATAACGTGCTTCGTCGGGAGTTCAACGTGCTGGTCTGGTTGTTGGTATTCGGTTTCTTGCGGATCCTGTGCGCTGTGGTGGACATTTCTATTCACCGTGGCATGCTGGCTAGAGGTTTTCCATCAGACGCGGTTGGCCATAGAAGAGCCGGCCAAACTGCATAGAGCACATTTTCCCAGTCAGACAAAAGGGACATTTAAGTGTAGTTCTGCTACTTATAGTTCAGATAGGAAGGTTGTGAACAGTGTAACAATTTTTTGATTTCGGACCACCGACAGGAAATTACCATCCAGCCCTCTGACACAGCTCCTTGGGTTTACAGGGATGTTTCTCTCAGCGCCATGCCCCGTCGACAAGCCCAGCAGGGCACTCAGGTCATAGCTCTCCATTTGGCAAAAGGTGAGTCGGGCTGAGATGAGCTGGACGCGGTTTTGCGAGAGCCAGGTACAGGAATCGTTTTCTATAGATCCTACACTTGAAGCTTAGCGTTCCCGTCCGCCTCTGGTACATCGGGACTGCGTCAATTGAAGCGTCATGGCAAAGATTGCTCGAGGCTATAGGCGAGAATTACGTGTAAGGAGGCTAACTCGACGAGCGCCTTCCACCGCCCGAGAGGCTACCCCGAATGCTATGAATGACGGCCAGTGAATAGTACTGGGACGAAAGGTCATCGCTGGTGGAGGGCGAGGCGGCTACTGGTTGGGCAATGCTCTCACACCAGCCAAAACGGAGGATGACAAGGTAAAAATGGAAGAGCTAGTACAGGAGATAAGTTCAGCGTTCACCTGTCAGGTTGTCATCTTGCGCGTGGTAGGCAGCCTCAAAGAGATGGTCCCCAGTCCTTTCAAACTAGAGGAAAATAAATGACAGTGAGAAGTAGGCAGACCGTTGGCAGGTACATAAATTGAGCTGTTGCACTAGTCCCTAATGCGTGTCATATGTGTGTGCATGGTACACGTCAGGTGGCGGTTTTACATCAAGTCAGCTACCGCGTCCGATATCGTCCGCAATGAGCTTGACGCAGAGGCGTCACTCACATAGGATGGGAAAGGAGAAAAGACAGCGCGACTGAGCCAGTATACGCAGCCTCAACTAAAATAAATATGCTGTGTTGCAAACTGGCATGGCGCGCTTTAAAGTGGTGGCTCGGATGGTTGCCGGCAGAGGTGTTAACTCGGTTCCCTGTGCCAGATTGCAATGCAGCCTCTGTGAAAAAGCATCCTCGATGGGAGCTCCGGGACCCAATTGGGGCCTGGTTGGCGTCGGTACCAGCGTGTGTGTAGCACGCGTTGGGCTGCACTCGGTCTCGGCTACATCTTTATCAACCTCGTCTTGCCAATGGGACGCGGCAGGTGTGGTAGACACTTCATTAGCAACAGATTAACGTGCAGGTACTGCGGCGGATCTTGTCGGTTGCAACATTCGATCCATCTTGTAACATTGGTGCATCTTGTCGGTGGGCGACTTCAAGAGGCACCCAATGGTTTGACCGGCGCAAGCGGCGACGTCCACCGCGTGCCCTACGGAGTGAGCGCAGCACTGGTGACTTGCGCCTGAGGAGGCGCTCACGGACAATCACATGCACGTCCTGACATAACAGAGAGGCCCCAAATTGTCTCACTCTAAACCTTCCTCTAACGGCCTTCATGGGGCATTACTCCAAGCTGCAGCAATGAAGTTAAATCTAGTAGGTGATTTCTAACAAAGTCATACCCGTACAACACAGACATAATGCTGAGACAACAGTCATGTTACTTGTTGACAGTACCATCAGATAATGCGAGACGCCGTCTGCATCCAACCCGTAAATATAGTATTAAGTTTGAAAACACTAAGCAATTTTTTTCATTGTGGGTATGGTCGATGCGTTGTTAGTGCAGCAACAGCAAAACATGGGTTCCTTCCACCTAAAAACAACCTTTTCCGGTTCCTGTCAGAGTAGCTGCCGGCTACCAGGGCGTTCCTATTCTTTTTTATTTCGCCATAAAGTGCTCGAAAGGTTCCTTGACGCAAAGACAACTGGATAAAATGGCATATTGGGACAAGTTCTGGTAGATATAATTTATGCAAGAAAACGGATCTGTCAGTCGCATTTCAGTGTTGTCTCTGCCTTTGGGTTTCAGAAATGTGAGAATCTGGGCTGGCATGGTCTCTATTCTGCTATTTCAGCAGCCGCCCCGTTCCAGATGCTTCCAGAACTTAAATTTTCGTCTTCAGACGTTGTGGGTTGGGGGACATCGGCAAAAAACAGGAACATACCGAAGCTAGACAGAGGACACTGTTTTTGCCCTTGGCCATACCACTCCGCTGATAGCCGTAGACCTCACCCTAGAGGAGTGAGGAAAATAAATTAGGTGATGGAATAAGCTACTGGCTAGTGACGAAAGTTGGAATGAGAGCAAGAGACGAGGAGACGTACCCGATTGGTCATGAGGTCAGCTAACAACATGACGTGACGAATATTCACTTCTACGCCATGACCTTCCATAACGGCTAGGAGTTCATCCATAACCACACGGCGAGCAGCTTCAACGCCTAGCACCCGTTCAACCTCAAGGATGTTATTACTCTTTGTCTTCTCGGGCACAACTCCAGGAATACACATTACCTGAAAGAAATCAGAAAAGATCCCTGATTAGGATCGATTTAGGCTGGATTCCGTCTGGCTAGCTTTTAAAGGGGGCAGGTAGTCGTGGAACCTCCAGACCGGTGTCCCCACGAAGTATAAACATCGTTTTCAGTCAACAGGCTGTAGTTCAATAGATTGATGAATCAGACAGTGGATTTTGGTCAATGCTAAAGGAACTGCCTTGCATCAAGATTACAGGCTCTTCTCGACCAGGCCAGGAATAGCAGACAAATGTTTATCTCACACAGGAACATACTCAAAACAATCTGTTTGCATCCCAGAACACAAGTTTTCACATATGGAGACTGAAAAATGACCTCTGCCATTGTATACGTGTTCATTGAGGCCTACTGCGTGATCACCAGCAGCAGTTGGGGATGCGTTTGTTCCCGCTCGAGTAACTGGCCACCCTGCCATGGCGAGGACCGCTTCGTGGAACTTTGACCTAAGAGTGCTGGTAAGCTATTTCTTAGACCAGTCGGGCATGTGCAGGTTGTTTCTGATCGCAATTTGGCTGTCCCGAAAGGACGCGAATTGTCACGAAACAGTCGGTGTTTCAGTCCTGCTATCTTTATCACCAAACTCCCGCACTGCACGCTGTTTTATCTTCAGTAGCTCAAGGTCTCACAACGATGAACAAAGAACAAGGCCAAGGAAGACGGTAAAAGAATGACGGGTCATTCGCAAAAGGTGAGATCCAGACGGAAAACCAAAAATTAGTTAAGCGATCTGCTTTAGCTGGAGTGTAAGGTCGGACCACTCACAAACAAACCTGCAGTGGCAGAAAGGCGGGGACTAGATCCACATTCAACCGCCTAGGTAAGTTGTCGGACAGACGGGACGGCAGTTGGCAATCAGGAACTAGCTGCAAAACAGTAGTACTAATAATGGAAACAAAACCATCAAAACCTATCTGGACCGCTTTGTTAAGAAAAAAGTGGGTGAATCCAGTCACCCCCCCCACCCCACCGACGCTCTCAGTGCTGGTCCGTGAGCATTGTTGCAAGTAGCTGAATGCCGATATTTGCGGAAGAAACGCGTCGTCCATTGTCAAGTCTCCGGTTTGAGAGATTACATGACAGTCAAGGGGACAAAAAATCCAACAAGGATGTGGATTAGAAAGCGATTCTTGAAACAAAATAGAAGACCGGGTTGAAGATTTGAGAGCTAGGATTTTGTCATCGTCTGAGGAACAATAGACAGAAAAGATCTTTTTTTCCATTGTTGATGGTAGACGAGTCCCCGTCCACCGACCGACTCCGGTCAATTATTTTATCATAGTACATAGATCAACCCAGCTACATGTTGGCAGAATGCCTTATCAGTAGGCATCAGGCTCTTTAGAGCTAAAGAAGTCCATATGACTTATTTTCGGCAGTTTTGTAAAGACCATTATTAGGTAACCACAATCATCTTCTCTTCTCAATTATGACCGGAGACGCCCATCATGGCTTCAATTGGCTGATTTCTAAACCACTGGAAGAATAACAAATGTGATCCTCCGCTTTTTCCACTTCCGCTTGTTGCGTGCATTCAAGTAGTTATTTTGTGCCGTCTTTGCGCAATGATATTTGCCAACCGTTCTCTGAAACCCACACTTATCAGAGAAGGGATACACAGGCTCGTCTTTTCAGCACAAGACTCATCTTGATGTCTCCTCTAGTAATCTATCTCATCTTTGTGCGCTTAAGCCGTGGATTCCTTGCTTTAAATTTTAGTCTGCAGGAGGCGATGTTTTTTGGTAAAAAAAGGTCCTTCTACAATGTCGGGAACTAGGTGGCAGGAGTTCGACAGAAGATACGCTAGAGGAAGTGTACAACGAAAAAGCATTATACAAATTCCGCGAGTAAACAAGTGAAAGAGGGAGGAGACAGGCTCAACTACCTCTTGCAGTTTAGCACCCTCCACAAAGACTCGGTGTTGACCATCCTGAGCTTCTTGAACGACGACACGCGCAACGTCCGGGATGCCCTTCACAACCACCGTCTCCAAAAGAGTGGTCAGGGTCTCCAGCTTGTTCAGATCCACTGGATAGACGTTGACATAATTCTCGGAATAGGTGACTCGCTGAAGACAAAAAGGTAGATGGAAAACTCGGTGACTAAAGCATCCTGAACATCAGAAGTTGGCCAATATGCACGGAATATGAGGGCTCAGTGGAACAGTCGGCAATTGGGCAAACACGAAAACTCTACCTTGCTAAACTGACTGTGGACACCCGCCATCACACAACTTAGCTGGTTACTGTATTTTGTGAAGAGTTGCGGCTTGCATTTTTTTACTTAGTACTACTAGCGGCCGCAGAAAGCCTCACCTGTGTAGATTAACTTCTGTATGCCAATATGGGAGATCAGCTGGGGGATGTCAGTTAGTCTCCAAAGAATTTGTGTCTATTTTGCGACGTTCGAAGACACTACTTACTTAATACTCAGCAATGCCCGAATGTAGAACGAAGCGCGTTAGTAGTTCCTGCACATTATTTCCTGCTACTACTGCCAGTGTTCAGTTTGGCGTCTTGACTACTACAAATGAAGAATTTAGATGTCTTAGGGTACCACCAGTTTGAGGTCAGAAAGCGCAGTTACTGTAAACAGTACGTTAACTGCAGCATAGAGGCTTGTTTTGTAATTTACGCGATGACCTAAGATTCCTTGGACTTTTATGAATTTGGCCTCCGGATCGTTAAATTTCGAATGTGCTGGAAGCACATAAACAGAAGGGTTTGCTAACCAGGTTTTTTTAAAACTATGAATGTGAACGTGTTAAACTGTCCCACTATTGGTCGCCTGCAGAGGAGCCGGGTGGCTTACAACTACGCTAACAGGCAGGCCTCTCTTCCGGCTGGAAAGTATGAGAGTGACAAGTACCCACCGAGAGCTTCAGGTTCTTCAGTTTGGCCGCACGGATAGCGGCCGCAGTCTGGGCCGGGGTGATTTCACGCCGTTTCATGCGTTTGAGGTCCAACTCGACGGCCACGTAAACATCGTCCGGAGTGAGGCACTGACGGAGTCGTAAAGCAATATCAGCCAATCGCGTTAGCTCAATCGACAGTTTGACGCGGCGTGCTAGCCAACCAGAGAAGGGATCTGAGAGCGTGACGGTGATGAGGGGTGTCTTGATGTTAGCCACTGCATTCACAATCTCCCGCATTCGAGGCACACCCTGAAAAGAAGATCAGATGGGTTATCTTTCTTTTAAACAGAAAAACAAACTGCATAATAATTCACCGTATTGACAACACAGGTACCAGCTAAAAGCCCAGACACGCGTGTTACGCCGATCTTGTGCCGCTGCCCGACGCCCCTTTCTTTAGGTATGATATTTAAAGGCAACTTAATTTGCTACCAAATAGGTAAAGGAACGGACATTTTGTGCATGCGTTTTATAAAACAGACTCAAACTTATAAGGGCATCGAAAATCAACGAGAAAACTCGTACTAATTAAGTAAATACTTAATTTTTACTGAAGTAGTTTTTGCAGACGGCCGAAAAGAATCTCATTCAAGGGCCGGAATCCTGACGTGACTGAAATAACTTTGGATCATGCTGCACGGGAAGTAATATTACAACCTTACAATATTACAATCGCATTTCGGAATTTTGGTCAACATTTCATGAGATAGGACATCCACTGTGCCAGTCTGGGTAAGGATCTGGTGAAGGACCCCAAGCATCCCTGGCATACAAAGAATACCTCTATACTAACTTAAGTGGGTTTTAATCCGACACGATTATTTCAGTTTGGTGGTTCATCGTACAAAGTTGGGTCGTCCGTTGTAGACGGTCTGGTGGATTACCTACAATGACGTCAGCTCAGAGAGTCGAGAAGCGATCGTTATAGACACTTAATGTTTATTTTTTAATTGTCCTGCTTGATTTCGGTTGGTATATGTCAATGCATTAAAACTTCTCGCCCGCAAAAAGGAATTTACCAATTATCTATACTTGTTTTGCCATTCCTCTATGTATACATAGGCCCCGCACGTTAAAGCCCTATTACCACCTTTCCCGTAAGACAGGCACCGTTGGCTGGTTATGTGTGTGTGTGTTTGGAGTCCTTCACCCGATCGTTGCCCCCATCTGCGTCGTGGAGATTGGTTCGCCAGTGCCGGCCTCTTTCTTTTTTCACCCAGACACCAGTCAACTGTCCGAGCCCCGCTTTGGTCCAACGCATTTGTAGCGCAATCCGTTGAAAGAGCCAATCTTTTGTACATGCGGCAGGTAGGACCAACGGTCAATTTCGAGTGGACTAGAAACATCCACCAGACCAATCAGCATAATTAAAAGGAAAGGAGCGAGAAGTTTGTCCTACACAAAGAACTAAACCTCTGCGTGTTGACCTGAATCCAACTTACGAAACACTACTAAAGCGGCTTAACGTAAGAACGAGCGCTCTTAATCGTACCGAAGGTCAGCGTGGCCTCACACGAACGGTAAACGGCAGCGCAAAATCGCCACCCTCCTTGACCGGAAGACCGTCAAGCTGGGGGGCCGACCGCGCCACAGGCACTTGCCTACGCTCCGATCACGAACAGGCGCGGAAATCGGTCGTGACAGGCGGGCGCATACAGGCTATTGAAGTGAAGCGAACAAATTTTCCCAGCCAACCAATGGCAAAGATGCGCAAGAAGTAACAAAACAAAATCTGCAGGAACCAACAGAAAAACTAGGTAAACTGAAAAATACAGGTGTAAGTAGGCAGAGCCTGAATTACTACCACCACAGTTTTAACTATGAAGAGCGCGAAGCTCTCAAAAGTCCGGACAGTATAAGCTAGCCTACTATGTTACCTCCTCCTCCTCGGATGGTGAAGCCAGAATAACAGGGTGGTTATGAGGTTTGTGACGCAATATGAACTTCAATAGTCGTGAGCGTGCTAACAACACACGGAAAAGTGATACCTGAGGGGGTTTAATGCAGCACTGGTGCGAATTAGCGTTTAAATTTGGTTACTTTTTACCTCACATTAGCTCTGAGAATATGATCTGATAATTGCAGGAATGATGCAGTTGACTGTTGGCAGAAAGAGTATTGCGTCCGTAAATAACGGATTGCGTTTCGAAATGCCCTAAATCAGTGAATAAGTTGTACCCACCATACAAAAACCGTGCACTGTCTACCACGTTTAACGCCGTAGACAATGGAAAAAAACGATAATATCGCAATTTTAATGAATGATTAAGACTTTGCTCTCCAGATGCCAGTAGCAACGTTTATTTATCAAGCATGCATTCAGATTTTACGACTTAAAGTCACTTATGAACGTTATGGCTATCAGTAATCGAGAGGCGGCATCAAGCCCAATGAGAAAGGGGGGAAGGGATTCAATTAAACGATTTTCCCAGATGGAATCAAGGTGTGCACGGCTGATGACGAAAACGACGCAACCTCTCAAAGGGGGGCACTCGCATACGACTTTGTAATCAGGATAGCTCGCCGAACATCGCTTGACAGCTCGATGCCGTGCCCGACGATGTCCACCGTGTGCTCCACGGCACAGTGAGAACAGGCACGGTGAATTGCGCACAAACTAGTTTCTAGTGGGAGTAGACTTGCGCAGCATCTACCGCACTCTCTCCTCCTCCCCAACTTGGCCCGGTGTCAAAACATGATCAAGAAGACCGAGTGCATTCATGTGGTCTTCTCTCGCGTCGGAAGGCAAAGCGTGTTTCACAGGATGAGGCGGTGCTCTGCGCAGGTTCATAGGAGGAGCAGGCCATTGTCATTGAGGCCGCTGATACCATGGGGACCCAGCACTGCTCTCCAAGCAGCCTGTTCTGTTCCCACGCGGGTGTTGAGGTCACCAAGGACAATCAACTTATCCGTCTTCGACATAGTCGCCAGAAGGGCGTGCAGGCTCCCGTAGAATTTTTTATTTACCGCGTCAGAGCTGGTCATCGAGGGGCGTAGATTTTGACGACGGTAACGAATTTGCCTCAACGAAGACGCAAGCGGAGGCTTAATAGGCGATCATTGATGCCCTTCGGCAGACTGGGTAGTCGTCCCACGGTACATATAGGGGTATCACCCCTCAATCGATGACTGATTCGTTACCCAGCCTTTGAAGGGCGATGGCAAAGGCAAAGGCAGGGCTGTGTCACACTTTTGTGCCCCAAGGTTTGTGAGCATCTGCTATGCCATGATTCAGCAAACCATGGCCCTCGCAGCCTGGTATGCGCTGGCAGTTCTCTGGCACCTGATTCCCTGCGGGCAGATGCGCTTGCGCACCCCCTGGGTATACGACCCGTGTGCATGATTGCCCAGTCATCCCTCCTCGTTCTGACCCGTTTATTTTCCTGTTGGTTAAAAGCCTGGTCAAGTGTTTTTTGTGGACCAGAGGGTGTGGTAGTACGCCAAGGTACGGATCCGGCCGTTCCAGCCACCTGCGCCCTCCCCTGCCTCCAGTCTTCTTGACTACGTCTTGACACCGGGCCAAGTTGGGGGGAAAGGAGAGAGTGCGGTAGATGCTGCGCAAGTCTGCCCTCATTAAAAACTAGTTTATGAGCAATTCACCGTGCCTGTTCCCACTTTGTTGTGGAGCACGTGGTGGGCATCGTCGGACAAGACGGCTGAACTATCAGTAGTAGTAGCAGTAGTAGTAGAAGCCCTTTTATAGGTTGGATCAAGTGGCCCTGAAGACAAGTAGAATTAACGTTTGACTACTAAATCCCAGTTGTCGCCCGTGCTGTTTTTGTATTAGTTCGCCTAATTACGTGCATCATGTTCCGTGGGATGCCTTCAAGAAGACTGGGAACATGAGTGCCCTGACACTAGATAACGGTTAAATGTGCTCTGGGAAGTTCGCGGAGGAGTCCAAACGAAACAGCAGCCGGTTTGTCGAACAACCGGTGCGAACGTCACAGAAAAGAGCGTTTCTTGTTAAGACCGGAAGCATTCGAACGTGAAATCATATGACTGGCTTCTCCTTTACTGAACGATAACACAGTGAAGGGCTGTGGTCTATTCCAGTTTCATCGAGAACTCGGACATTTAATAACATGATATGACGGTCTGTAAGGAAGAAGAGAAGGAAATGGAACTTGTCATGTAAGAAAAAGACACCAGAACCCTCACCTGTGTAATATTCATGCTGGCGACACCAGCGAAATGGAAAGTCTTCAGAGTCATTTGTGTGGCCGGTTCGCCAATCGATTGGCCACAGAGAGCGCCTACCGCGGTACCGGGCTCCATAAGGGCACGCTCGTACTTCTTCTTCACCCGCATCAGGAAGAGGCGCAGTTGGGTGCGCGTCAGACGTTCCACTTGATCAGTGGCGTCCTTTGCGGCTGCAGACTCTGACCGCCAGGGAAAAGCCCGCATCCGCGGGAGGACGTGAGTGTCGAAGAAGGATCTGGGTGTGCATGCAGAGAAGAGAGAGTTAAGGGACAAAATACGGAAGGCCAGTCACAAGGGTAGTGTAGGGGGTCTTCTGGTGCAAAAAGGCGTCTGCCATCGGAGACATTGATATGAAGGTCGCTACCAGGAAGGGTCGATCTCAATATTCCAAAAATGCTTCGCAAATGAAAGCAAAACTGTTTGATTTTATCAATGGGATCTATTACTTACCATGATATATGCACACGCATAGGCAGTTGCGTAGAAAAAAAACAAAACAATAGGAAAATGCTGCACGTATAGAAAACCGATGACTGGAGGAAAAGTAGACGCCACTGACTTGATGTGTGACGAGAGAATTCCGTCAAGATCTCTGAACGCTGGGAGCTGTAGAGCGGCCTCGATAGCAATTTCTACCTCTTCCGCGGTCATTGAGGACTCAGAATAGCACGGCGTGATACCCTAATAGTGTAAAAAGGACGTTTACAAACAAAAGTCTGACGAAAATACTGTTAAAAGTGACCCAGAGCGTCACCTGACTATTAACTACTCATACGGGACTGCTGAAATTAAGAATGCAGGCCCGTCGACCCAAATTTAACTGAATCCCCACATTAAGGCGTGAGAACAGGCAAAAGGAAAAAGTGAAAGTAGGACACTGCGACAAGAGTGGGCCTTTAGTAAAGAAAGATGATTAACAAGGGCCAAAGGCATGAGGGCATGGCGGCGAAGCAGATACTCCGACGAAGCTTGAAAATTCAGGCTTTTGGAAGTGTAGTGGAGCACCAGGGGAGAAAGTACGGTCTGTAAGTCAATTTAAAATAAGCTCGCATGGGAACATTTATTACTTCAACCGTCCGAAAGATGCAACAAGAAGGCAGAAAAGAACAGCGAAGACATGTTGTTGAACGGAGCAGTTTTTTCACAAGATCGCCAAGACTTACCCTTATATTGGCTAATTCTCGTTTCAGGTCCGCAGGGAAAGCCTCCAACTCCATTTCACATGGATCCAATCCGTCGGAGCCGTATCGAAACTGTACAATGTCACCTCTGCTGTCACGCACCGTCCCGTCGTAAGTGACAGTAAGGTCTTCCAAGAACTACAACATTGAATAAGATGGTCATGGTGGGCGTACGCAAATGAGTGGAAAACAGTTATGGAAAAAGCATGCTCACTGGCGGATAGTTTTCGGCTATTTACTGGTTTAGAAGGCCCTCCACAAGTTATTTAAAAACATAGGCTACTTTTAGTGCGCTGATGACGGACAGGAGGTATTTACCTTCCCAGCAGACATACACATGGAGAGAAAGTCGTCTGCACTAACGATAATGTGTGAAGATACCTATGTGTTATTTTCTATCCTAAGGGCAGGCAGATTGTTCAATGGACACTTTTTAACGCACGAACCTAACTATTTTCCCTCCGTACAATGAAATGGCCTCGTTGCTCGTCCTCACCAACTGAGTTAAGTCACCGTGGATCAGTAGCAACAAAGGCAATGACCACCTCCTGCAGGCCTGCGAGGAACACAGGCTAGCCCTGACAAACATCCTTCGCCTTCTGATCCGGGAGAGGGCGTGGATGCAGTCCCATTAGCGTCATTTGCAGCTGGTGGGCTACGTCCTCGTCCGGAGGCGTGGCCAACGTGACGCGCCAATAACCAAGGCAATGTGTGCTGCAGACTGCTGGACGGACCACCATCTTGTCCCCTCTAACATCCTGTTGGAACAGCAACTCCGCCGGTGTCGCAAGGTAAGCGAACACCAGGTAAGGTAAATACTGTATTACTAAACCCGTCTGACAACCGGTAACACGAACAATCGCCCAAATCAACCTCTGGTGAAATCCAAGTCCTGGAAGGAAATGCTACAGTTCAGACCCAATGGAAGGAAGTGCGGCGCGTCATTCAGGCCATCGATCTGAAGATCCTCGGTCGTGCACGCGGACAGCACTAGAATTGGTTCGACGACGACGAAATCCGACACCTACCATAAGGGAATAACAGTCTACACATGATCTACGCCAAAAACAGTAGCGACGCCAACGAGTCCACGGACTTCCAAAGCAGACGGCTAATAAAACAGAGGCTGAGGGAGAGGCAGAACGACTGGCTAATTAGCAAACCTGGGAAACTCCAAGGATGTGTCGAACATGGTGAGATGGGGAATCTCCTCGAGACTGGCAAAGTGGTCTACGGTCCACAGGTCAGGAAGACTGCACCACTGCTATTGTCCGAAAAAGTGGAGATTCTGAATCTTTGAGCTGAGCACTCCAGAGATGCCATCAACCACCCGCCAACAATCTACGAAGAAGGTATCAACCGACTTCCCCAAGTGAATACCAAAGACGACACCAATCCCCATTAGATAAAATCAGGGCAGTGCAATAGTGGTCCAATGGGAAAGCACGGGAAGCCAACAGAATACCAGTCGAAATTTACAAATAAGGTGGCCCACAACTCACGGAAAAGTATCCATAACTGTTTAAGTACATGCGATTGCAAAAGGAAATCCCCTAAGGCTTTAAGGATGCCCTCATCGTGTACATATGAAAACGCAAAGGAAACCGTCAACTCTCTGATACATATTGACCCAACTGTGAAAAACTCGGCGCCTCGGTGGGATTCGAACCCACGCAGTAAGGGGAAGGCTTTAGCGCAGCCAACGCTCTAACCATAGAGGCACCTAACTTCATAACGCTACAGGCAAAAGCTTCACCCGAGTCCTACTCAATCGTCTAAGCATGCATCTGTGGCAGGTACTCCTTCCAGAAACAGAGCCCAGATATCAAACGACAGACATGATCTTCGCAACCCGCCAACTGCAAGTTAAGTGTCAGAAAGTACGGACCAGTCCATATACAACTTTGTAGATCTGGCAAGGCTCTAGGACACGGTGAATAGCGACGAAATCTAGTGAATCATGCCGAGATTTGAATGTTCGTAGCAATTCACACGACGGAATGGTGGCGCGTCACCAACAACGGGGTGGCCTCTCCAGAATTCGCGGCGACATATGGGGCAAGGCAAGATTATGTACCCGCCCCCACCCCCTTCAATTCTACGTTCTCCGCCATGCTGTTGAATATTTCCTGTGAGGAACGGCTGGGAATCTGTCGCATGCGGACATCTTAAAGAGCCTCCAAGGTCAGTGTCCACGATCACTTGCTCGCGGATGACAGTGCGCTAAATACAACGGAAGTGAACATGTTGCGCAGCATTCACTTTTTCGTCTCCGACCACTCCAAATTCTGACTGACAATCGGCAAGGAGGAGAAAGTGGTCATGCAAAAACTAGCGCAAAATGATGACTACAACGAACCCAGAATCAAAATCAGCGGAACTCGCCTAACATCAGTCGAAAAATTCGCATATCTGAGGAGGAGAGTTTCACGAAACAGTAAGATCAACAATGATCGGCTACCGCACCCGTCTTGGAACTGCCGCGACATTCACCTGAACGCAAAGTTAAGGGTGCGGAGGGCTGCTGTCTTGACAACACTCCCCTATGGGCGAAGAGATGGACAGACTACAAAAGCCAAGGAAGAGAACTCACTTATTTCTAGCACAAATGCCTTCGGAGACTATGGAAGATGAAGCGGCATGAAAGAATGCCAGACACCGAGATGCTGGATAGGACCGTCATCCTCAGTATCCATGTCATGTTGAAGAACATTCAACTCGGATGGAGCAGTAACGTCGTTAGGATGAACGATGAAGTATTCCTGAGACCACTATACGGCGTCGCTGCGGGTGTCCGAGGACAAGGCGGACAAAAACGTCGACACACCTGCACCTGCACATCGGCGCTGAGACCTGCAGCGACCTCCGCAAAAAATCGGAAGGCGTGGCGCACCAGCGTAAAAACTGGAGGAGCAATCTACGCAGCTTGCCACGGACAAGAAACTGAAATGTACTCACACTTTCGACGAAAATTTAAGGTATTAACTGACCTCGTTGGACATCTCCGGAGTCAGTGCATCGTTACCGTGAAGAACTCGCCTCCCATCTCCCAAAACAAAGCCAACACAAACATCGTCACTACCACCAGCATCGACAGTGAGAACACTCCTGTCATCCAGTCTACCGTCCCCATCATATCCCCTCCTACAGTCAATGCGGACTGGGCTCCAATGTGTTTTTATTGCGACCGCACCTCCTAAGGACGCATCAGCCTCGTCGCTCATTTGCCTGAGGCTGGCGAACTAGTGCCTGGAGTCCTGACATACACCCGTCACATATGCCTCAGACCCACCCCCCCACACTGTCCCAGGACGTTCAGGCACCACAGAGGGTTCTTTCGGTCATATGCGCATACACGACAGCAGGATTCCCTGCAATATCACTACGATCAGCTCATCTCCCACAGGTAAGGACTCTTTATCACCATCGGCACACGCATCACAAACAACAGCAGTGTCTTACGACAAGCAGCTCCGTAGACGGTCACCTCTTGTCTATTCTGCCAACGTAAATCTAAGTCACGCATCAGCCTGTTCGGCGTTTTGCGAATCCATTGCGCTGGGCCTGTTGAAGTAATGCCGGGAGACCCAACATAAACTCGTCACTCCCGTCTGGCTTGCCCACACTTCGTCAGGACATTCGGTCATCACATTGGTTTATTCGGGCATACGCGCACCAACGAAAATCCCCAGTAACACATCATAACCCAGACTCCACCCCGAGATCATGCCCTACTTACCACACACGAACGCGTTCCAAAACACGCACACAGACGACACCTCATCGTAACGCATCCTGCATCACTCCTGTAGTAAACACGCGATACATTTTGCCAGCGCCAATGTGGCGTGTGGAACGTCGCATGAGAGACTGCGGAGACCTCACGCAAATATAAAACATGTGCTTTAGGGTAGCCTGGCATATGAAATGAGGATCAGGTCGTGCAGTACGCGTAGAGGGGCCGCTCAGTTTTGCCAGAAACTACGCCTAGTCTCTTCATCAATTCTTTAACAGGTCCGAACAGTCGGTCGGTGCAAGGGAGCGAGAGTGAGGACGACAGTAGGAAATTCGCCCTCACGGCGCATCAGAACACTCCTCACCATAAGAAATCTGACATACATGCCTGAATCTATCACGACGCCCTTAGAGTCTTTACTTGGAAGGCTAACAACTGATGAGCTGGCAAAAGGCGAAACCAGGAGCATAAGCAGCGCCATTCTTGCGCATGCAGTCGATCCAGGGCATCGTGTGCACCCCCAGCGAAGCTTTTCGCGTGATTTATAGGGTCTCCTCGAGCTATCCTAGGCTGCTGGGCCAGCGCCTGTTGGTAATAGCAGAAGCGGCCGCAATCAGGTTACGAAAACCGACTCTATGCGCCCAGAAGAACCTCGTGCAGGCTCCGCGATTGCCGTGGTCAAAGGTTCACGAACCACATGCAACTTTCTGCGCCTTTCCACTTTCGCCCCGCCTGTGTTTTGAAACTAACTTTTGTCGATTTTTTCAATCACTGACATGCTTGACTGTACCCTGTCCCCATATAAATGTTCGCCAACTCGGTTTGTTTTTTCCCAGGACTAGTGGTCAGGCTCTAATTACTCCTACTTGGTGCGAACTTTATGGCGTTGTCACCTATGTGGGATCCGGTAAGTTCTTGTTGTGGACTGGTACATGTGGAGCGTAGATCAGGTCGTGTGTGGCAGGTGTACACGGGCTGTTCGGCTTTGTCCACTAATTTTTCTGCACCAATCTACTGTTGTCTTGACTTTGTCTCGCCACCGGAACAACGTGGATGACGCATGAGAGAGCGAGGTGGATGCTGCGCAAGTTTGCCTTGCCATAAGCTAATTCACGCCCTCTCTGTAGAGCACACGGTGGCGTCATCGCTTGTCATGGTCAGGCTTGCGCAATCTAAACCAGCAGTCTGTTCGAATTTTACTAATCGCAAAGACCTCAAGGCATATAAACACTAACCACAGAATATGCAAAGAAAATAGCGATAACAGAAGATGCTGGTCGCGAGAGATGTCAGTCAGCGAGTAGGTGAAATTCATCAGAACGCTATTGGTCGAGAAGAACCGACAAGTTGCGCTGGCTACACTTGGCCCGCACTTACCTTGACAATTCGTCGTTGCATGTACCCGGTGTCTGCTGTCTTCACAGCGGTGTCCGTAAGACCTTCGCGACCACTCATAGCATGGAAGAAGAATTCAGAGGGCGTTAGACCGGAGTAGAAGCTGTTTCCGACAAAACCCTTTGCGGCGGGTGTTCGAGAACCCGGTGGAAAGTGGATGAGACTGCGACCGTTCAGCGAGTCCGGTACTCGCTTGCCTCCGATGATTTGCTGTCCCACACAGGCAATCATTTGAGAAATATTCAAGAATGAGCCTGGGGACGGGAAACAAGGCAGGCCCAAAAAGAAGACTCAGAAGGATTGAAGGCTTTCAGAAGAAGCACATCTGCAACATCGTTATAATCTCAAAATTTCGCGAAGGTAGACTACTTAAGACAGAAATGAAGACATAAGAATTAAGGTAAGCAACAGTGGAAGCGGATTATGGAGGGGTGGGTGGAGAGGAGGGGTGGCGCAGCTGACGTCGTGAGGATAAGCTGCCAGAGAATGTCCTAAAAGAACGCAACCGAGACTCCTCATCCTTCAAACAGAGCAGCCGAGTAAGAAACAATTCAGGTCTCGTGGAAAAGAGATACTTATCTGACGTTCTGGATTTGAGGTCTTGAACAGTCATCTCCAACATAGATGGTTCAATAATTCGACTGGACCTACTATTTATTAATGGACACCAAATGTGGCAAATTCTCACTATCTGACGACGACGAACTCGTCCATGGGTTCGGAACGTCATGGGGTCGGGCTGTCTTCTCCTTCTTCCCCGAGATGGTCTCTTGACCGGCGCGATTAACTATGATAGACGTTGCCGATCAACCATCAGCCACAGTTCGTCGCTGTGTGATGCAACCTAAGAACATGATGCTGGAGTGATGTAGACTGTAACTACTTTTTCGGGAACCGCGATAAGGGGGAAGAGGAGGAGGAGGAGGAGGAGGACTGAGAAAATAAACTGTTAACTTACCCTTTGAACCCGACTGAGCCATGACTAACGGCGAATTCGAAGGGTAGAGGGTGCGCTTACAGGCGGAACCAGCCTCGTCCCGGATCTTAGAAAGTTCCTGGCTGAGGCTTGACTGAAGCAAGAAAAGAACTATTTTACAAAAGGTCTGCAGAAGAACTATTCTTGGGTGAGAAAACTGGCGAGAGGATGAAACGGCCAAAATAGTCTCTTCGACCTGTGGCACAGAGTCTCTAGATGCTTCGAATGAGAGGACTCGAGAGACGAGGACTACTAGTGGATAAAATGGCTGTGGAAAACACATGAGCAAGCCAACCCATTTTGCCAACAGTGAAGCAATGTAAAACTTATATTTGCAGGTGTCTGTAGAATTAGAAGCACACATCTTGGAGGAGTCACCAGTAACACTTAACGAAACTAACAGCCCTCGGTTCTAGCATCACATTGTTGAGGAGTCAGTCCCGTAAAATACTGTACAATATGCTCGCCTTGCTGCCACAACCCAAAAGTTTTTTGTCCATACAGCCTGCTATGAGTTCGCTATTAAAGATCACCACGACTAGGAGTCGGCAGAAAACAAACATAAGAGACCTTTGCAGGACAGTTCATTCCTAAAAGGGACTACAGAGCACTCTGTTATCGTTCGATTTGTCAAAATGCAAACAAGGAAACGGGAGGGGGACGGGATGACGCACCTCTAAGGTCTCCTCCATACTGCAGCCAGGATTGCATTTGAGGGTGTTATTTTCATATTGCTTGATGAAGTCTTCACATTTTGCGAATCTGAATGCAGTAATAATGCAGATAACAGGGTATGAAAAAGGACAGAATTGAAGGAAAACAGTGTATAATGCTGGTTTGGAGAGCAGGCATAGGAGTGTGCTAAAAATATACTCAAGGAGTGGAGGGCCAGAAACATAGCTGGCGAGGCAATGCGTACATCGTCCGTCGTAATTGATGATGGACACTTTCAACGACTATTGTTGAGGTTTGACCGATGAAGTGTTTTTATGATCGGTGTCACGATATATCCGGAGTTAGCAAGCGAGTTCACTCCTGTCCAAACCTGTATGCTGTCGGGCGCGTTTTTTCGGCCGACTGGAAGTAAACGCTGCGAGAGGAATGTGGCTGCGTAGATGCCGCGCATGTTGGACAGGCCCAGGAATAAGGTAGACGACGAAGCAATCGAAATGCCAAGTCTGAGCAACATGCGTGGACTCAGGTTTCGCAACTGCTGCGTCTAACATTGCATCCACCGAATCCCCACTTTATACTGACAGAGGCTTCGAGGTGAGTTGGTTATGTGGAGTTTTGCGGGCTGATGTCGCGACAGTCCTGAGGTGGACACAATGGGCACTGAAGCGGGGTAGGAACTTGCATTCTGAGTGTGGGCTGGTCAACGCTGACACTTCCTTTGGGTAATGACCATGTCGTTATCGTTCTCGTTTTTGCAGTGGATTGAAGGCGCCCCTTAATGCCAAACTGGACCGTGAAGTACATTGCCGGTGTTGTTTCTAGGCACTCCCGCCTCACGTTACTGCACCTTTCCCCGAACTCCTACGTATGGTTGACTCCTAAGGTAGCAGTCGGATTTTTACGACAGCTGGAGATGCTTTTCGACCCTACGCAAGTTGCCCAGGGGTAATTTAATTTAAAATGTTAAAGGATCCTTGCACCTTTGCTTCTGTCCTTGGGTGGCGGGCGTTGGTATCAGCATTACTGTTGAGCAAAAGTCTTTTAAGGAGGGGGGATGCTCACCTAACGTTTGGCTAAACTGCCCAAGACAGAGAGCTATCTAGAGTACGATAAGAGAACCTCATTTCTAGCAACTGTCACTAGAGGTCAAGTGCAGAACAACTGACAGAATCAATTGGCAGAAAAGTAAGTCGGATGTGGAAAAAGATTACAGTTGATCCTCGGAAACTGGGTCCAAGAAAATTTTCCACACTTTCGAATGATGAAAAATTACATAATACGTGGCTTACCCTTGATGGATTAACTGCTCTTTTGCGGCACGCAACCGGGGGCAAGGGGTCACCTCACCAATTCCGATTGAGAAGCCTCGGTGAGCAAGGTAAAAGAGGGATATGCGACCAAGGCGCCACATGGCATCTGCGCAGGCGTCACCGCCATAGTCCCGTAAAATGCTGTAGAATATGCTCGCCTTGCTGCCACCGCCCAAAAGTTTCTTGTCCATACAGCCGGCCATGAGTTCGCTATTAAAGATGACCACGACTAGGAGTCGGCAGAAAACAAATAACCAAATAACTTCTGTTGAAATCAAATAAGTAGAACACTTGGCAAAAATTAGAATGCCACTTACAGCCGTCGTTGGGGCAGAGTTCCTCACCCCGACCAGAGTAGATCGATTTAGTTGGTACTCGCAGGCTAATTTTCACCTCACAAGAAGGATGTGGTGATAAAATGAGGTTGAATATTTGCTTTCCAGTCCAGAGACGAGTCGGCTATAGAGTTGGGAAACGAAAAACCGTTATCAGATGATGGAGGCTAGACAAAGCGGACAAACAGCGCAACTACAGCGCCCACGCGAACGCACCCACATAATGGCTGGAGGAGGTAGCTGAAGAGGTCGGCCAACGTGGTTGCCCGATACAATTTGACAGGCCAGTTGGCAGGCTTGATCCCGCGTGAAAAAAACGTCCTTGAGAGTGAGCAAGTGAGTTGCGGTGATAAGATCTTGGATGGGGGAAATTAACGGCTCGCCGTTTTTTGGACTAGAAATGTTCTTCAGGGTCTAAAGTTTGCGCGGAATAATAGACATGACAAAGTAAGTGGGCAAAGACATTTACAAGTGGCACGCAGCGGTGGGCCTCGCCAACTTACAAGCATCAAGTGTTTTGCTTCAGCCCTGGCCTCCTCCGTTTGTGGCAAGTGGATGTTCATTTCGTCGCCATCAAAGTCGGCGTTGAAAGGGGTGCAGCAACAGGGATTAAACCGAAAGGTTCGATTCTGTTTAACGGTCGCCTGGTGTTGGAGAATTAAGTAATTAATGCAATGTCAGAGGAACTAAGGGTACATTTTGTGCGGTACAACTACACAACTATCAAATAAATCCTCAAAGATCTATTAGGGCAACTATGAAACTATATAATAAATTTTCACAGACTAGTACAGCCTAGCCGAAAGCATAGGCACGTCAGTGAAACCTATAGAATCTTGAACATAATTTGAACGATTCCTAGAACTAAGTTGAATGAGTTGAGCAACTGCCTAATCTCCTGTGAGCAGGACTTCCACAAGGAGTTAGTGAATTGAGAGAAAGACTGAAATGAATACCTGTATGCTATTAAAATAAACAATTGTAAAGTCTGCTGAGCCAGATTCTCCTTAGATGCACAGCGATTTAAGCAATTTATTTGAATTTCACTGAGAGCCAGGAGGCATCATCCATGATGCCCCATCCAACCATTGAAAATAAACGAAACAGACTATAAATTGTGAGGAAAATATGTGGAAGGATTGCCTACTGAAGGCTATTAAAAAGCGTGAGAAAAACAAAGAATGTGGGCAAATTGAGTAAAAGTCGTAGGCTAAAAATTATGATTGAATTTGAACCAGATTAAACAAGAGAAGTGTCCCAAATTCAACGGAACCTATACTGACAGTTAAACATAGGTTACGATGTGAACACCTATGATGCCGAAAAGGAGTGACGATCAACAAATTATGTAACGAGCGCAATCATCCTCACAAGCCTGTGTCACCTTTTTTTACATATCAATCACACATAGCGAAGGTTTCTGTTTTATAGAGTGACTGAAGCAGTTGGCTACTCACCGCCAACTTTCCAGTTACAGGGGCTTCAACCTTGGATTTCGAATTGTGTATAAAGTAACCACAGAAAATCCAACTAGCTAATGCTCACTCAGGCGGCGTAAATTCATTTGGTTAGTGCTGGGTCCAGTATATCCAGTGACGCGGTTTGAAAACTCGGAACCTATACAACGGCTAACCGCACACTATGTCGTTTCAGGTTCTCGTTGAAGCGCTGTGCTCAGGTTGACAAACACAAATATCGAGTAACAGCCACAAAAATTACCACATGCAGAAATTCATAGAAGGCGATGCAATAAAAAATTACCTTCATGGCTTGAATGGAGACGCGGTGAAGAGAAGGTTGTCTATTGAATAGCACAATATCGTCATCAACTAGGTGTCTTTCAACCAGGTCGCCAATACGCAACGTCTTCGCAACATTCTCCTGGATACGTTTATTGGCCAAGTACTTCTTTACGATGCCTCCAGGCTGCAGTCCCTTGCCCGCCTCTGCATTCTGTACATCTCGAGCCGTTGCGCGGTAACTAACAAACAGTGCACCCGGATGCGTGTTGGGTCCATTGAGGATAAGCTTCCGGAGAAATTCAATGTTGAACTGGGTTACACGTTCTGGATAGGTGAGTAGTTTGGCACAGTGTACCGGGACGCAAACCTATATTTAAGGACCATAAACGAGTCCCTCTTATCAAAGATCACGATGAAGCACAGACATAGGAAGGGGACGAGGGCGCCCCAAAATATATGTACCTGATCAATACGCAGATTGGGATCGGGAGAGATGACGGTGCGAGCCGTGAAGTTAGTACGCTTTCCCAGTAGATTTCCACGGAAACGACCATGTTTTCCGGAGAGGCGTTGCAAAAGACCACGCATAAATTTGTGATCTTGCACCGGAGGCAGGCCACTGTGTTGGGAATTTATTATTCGTGCGACCTCTGCGTGCAAATTATCAAGACAGGCGATTTGATCTGCTTCAGGTATGTCCTCTTCCAGAGTTGCTGCTTGAGCCAAAATCCACTGGTACATCTGAGTAAGGTCATCTTCGTTACTAAGAAATTAGAAAGGTAATTTCCAAGTAAATCGGTAAAGAAAATGCTCAAGAGAATATGCATTTAGTTAGTGAAATTGGCCATCAATAGAAAGATTGAATCTGAACTAACCAAACCAGCACGAAGACATACACAATTAACTCAGAAAGACGCCCCCTTCCACTCAGGTGCGGACTGCCTAAGGTATTCAGACTGGGTTGCCTTCAGAAAACGACAACCTCAAAAAGTTGCCCACTGCTTCGAAAGACTCAAAGATGCCATCAACTTACCGAAGCAAGAAACATCAAAGTCACATGACTTACGTTCCGCTTTTGACCTCTGAAACAACTGAGGGTCGGATAGCATTGGGCGGAACTGGGATCCGCTGCAAAATCAAATTTCGAGGGTGGGTCGCCCACTCACAGCCAAAAGGCATCAGTAGCAAAGGAAGGTCCTCTGTTGGTATTTTAGAAAACAGCTGAAGGGCACGAGCAGGGCGAATAGTTTCCTGCAACATATAAGGCTGGGATTAAAATGGTACCCCTTTGAGAAGCATGGGCAAATATACACAAACGAAGGATTTCTGTTCCAGCAAGATAATACAAGGAGATCCGACAACGGTCAGAAAGGAGTATAAGGCAAAAATAGGAAAAGCGCTTTCAATGAAGAGAGAGTCCAAGAAAAGCCTGGTAAAGATTTACTTCATTCGAGCATACAGACACAATGTTATATGCGTAAACATTGAAAACAAAAATATTACAACATACCACGCATTTTCTAGCCAGTGCGGGAAGCTCGGGATTTGTGTCGCTGGCAGCGGATAACTTGTCAACATACTCATCGACATTCTTCCCAACTAACTTAGACACATCGTGAATGATATAAGACAGTCCAGTGCCCTTTTTGACGTTGCCTAAACATAGTAGGGTCAAAAAGTTCCAAACCGTTTAAAGCTCCGCAATATCTGCATACGGTAGGTTTGTTAGCGAGCTTATGAACGGCTTTGCGTAAAACTTTCTTTTGAATATACTCCAGGGAAAGATTAGAGCAGCTCTGGAGGTACTTCGACCGGACGGAATCAGGGATAAGGACGCGGGAGCAAGTCTAAATGATAGGCAAAATAAGGAGAATTTACTTTGCAGATGCATTGAAGAATTTTCACTATATGCCACAGATAGCCCACATGGTAAACAGGCGCGGGAAGATCAAAGTAACCCCAATGGCCGATGCAAGCTTGATAATCAAGACCGCAGGTTTCGCATAGTTCGTTTCGCTTAGAAGCGCCGAGTTTAGGATCAAGCAAGCCGTATTCCAGTGCTTTCCGACCTCCCTGGTCCTCCTTATAAAGAAGACATTTCAGAACTTGTACATTGGCAAGCTGTTGGATATCTGCCTCTGTTGACAAACTAAAACGGATGTTTTTACTTATTTTTTAGTCAATTAAATAGTATGGTTTTACATAGTCTTTGGAACATCCGTAGGCCTATACAATTCCTTCATATCCAGAAAGTGAGCAACCCACGGAGGCACCACACACCAACGACGAATTCCCGCCTAACCAAAATTATTTGGTTTAACTGTTCCAACAACGACCGAAATAAATTTGCATATGTGATTGGGCATTAGTTCATTTATTGACCGAAATTTAAGGTGCATAGCTTATCTGTAAAAGGCAAATTTTTGAGTAGTAAGGCATTCTTCTGCTGGAATTTATATGGGTATGAATTAAAAGATAACCAAGTGTTAGTGATGGGATAGACAACAGATGAATCAGGTGTGCGAGGGAGGTGCAGCCAGGCAAGTTCTCGAAAAGTGGAAAGTTTAAAAGGCTAAACGATACGTTTACGCAACACCACACTGTTCAAAATTGAGAAAAGGGGCGAAAACCATCGTCAACAGCGAAAAAGTTGCCAATAGTTGTTTAGAAGTGACGCTAAGTTTTCATATTAGCAAGGAAGGAAGATTATGTATGCTTTCGTCAACTGATGCCTTTTGTGACTATTAAAAGCGTTCAGAATTGCACTGTTAGCGTCCCCAGACGTCTTTAGCTCCTCAACCATCATGGAAAATTGATAAAATTATTCAATAATTTGCATTTAAATGCTAGGATGACTTTGGGATTACTCGCCTCATTATCTAGTAGGGCGCTGGGGAAACTTCCCGTTTTAAGATTGCTTTCACTCAGTACACTGGCCGGACTTTGGACTAACGCCTACGCTAGAGAACGAAGTCATACCGGACATCTACGTCATTGACAGCACTGTGTGCTTTTCGGAGGTTCCCGCATTTTAAGATATTTCAGCCTAAGAATATAGGGAATAATTACATACGTCGTGTTTATTTTGATTGCGAATGGAACGAAGAATCCGAGTTTCTGGTTTGCCATCATTCCCAAAACCGCTATGAAGCCAGCTCGATTGTTCGTACTCAATGATGGGTCAAATTAGTAAAGTAAACGGCATGTAACCTTTCGGTTCGCTGTGATTATAAAGACACATAATAAAAGTTAAAGGCCATCCTTTAGTCTCAGCAACACCTTAAAAGAAGCGCTTTGAGGGGAAAAGTTACTGAGAAGAGGAAGTTATCAGCCGATAGTCTACTTAAATTACGAAGAAACATCGTCACCAGACATTGGTCCCACTATCATGAAGGTTCATTCCAAATAAATTAAGATGAAATGGGATAGCTTTATATCCTCCAGGGTGTCCCTCACGTAAATTCCCTCCTTAACGGAGCAAAATATTCTTCAATAGAACAACGGTCAAGTGGATGACCTAATAACACTTGTCAATTCAGAACATTTCAGCGACGAACTGTGGTAAACCGCCAACGAAGATTACAATCGGAAGAAATAGCAAGAATGCAACGATATTACAGCGTGAAGAGGAAAGGAACTTACTTTCGCATAAGTACATCTCTTCTAAAAGTCAAGTGACCACATAGGCCGCTTGTTGGCGCAGTATGTCAGTCAAGCCGATGATTTGATGTCTCCACAGACTGCGACATTCCTGTTCACTCCAGTAGGTTATTTGATAAATCAACCTGATGGTCGGAAGAAGTCATCACGGAAAAGGGCAGTCTTAACTAAACACGATACGGCAAGTTTGTATCCAGTGCCCGTGCAATTGCTCATGAATGAACAGACATAGATCTAAATTAGGTAATGGGTCTCATACAGCAGTGCTCCTAGATCTCCTACAAACTTTTGACTCATCTCTGCACCCTTTTGTGCAGGTTACAACTCTGTTGCGTTCAGCATCCCCGAGCCTGTATCGCATATTTGGGATGTGGCCTTAAAAATGTGTGGAAGACTTTAATAAAGCAGCCTTCGTCGAAAACTGCGAACGTCCACTCGATAGCGTGTCTCATTTAAGTTTGGGACTTAGCTGTATACGACAGGGTGCATAAGTCTTTGTAGTTCTCGTTACTCAAAGGTTGAGATATTTCTGTGCTCCTGCTATTAGGCGTGACATTTTGCTAAGACGGTAGGTGTGCCGATCTGGTACCTGGTTACGATTTCTGAGATACCGTATGACACCCCTGTTCCAGTTAAACGACGGGAGCCATCCGCAGTACCATAAGTCTAATCGACAAAGACCGCCTTGAAATTCCCTCCAGTCGACTGCATTAGGAGTAAATATTCCATATTCGTATGTCAACCATGATAAGTGGATCTTTTTGTCCGTTCTCTGGCTAATCAATCGGGTTCTCTGACAAATTTACTTTGCCCACAACGGCGTCCGAGCCTTCAAATCACTCCATATATTTGCTGAAGTGCAGTGTATGTTTCGGCATTTCGTCCTAACACCTGCGAACAATCCCTGTACGTGCGGATATCGAATAGAAGACTGCAGAGCAACGGGTATTTCAGTGATGACAGCAAAGCGATAGATTTTCAGGAAACCATCATATCAATAATCATCACTCAGGATTAAATGGCTGCACCTAGGGTCTCGGACGATATGGCATTTTCTGCCATACATCAAGGACGTTTCAGAAGCGACCGAGCACATTGCTGGGGAGCTAGGTGTTGGAATTGCACATCGTCCCAAAGCCACCATGCGCAATAGGGTCATGATAACTAAAGACCGGTTATAGCCTGAAGAGCGATCTGGAGTAGTGTATCGCATTCCGTGTCAAAATTGTCCTTGTAATTACATAGGGCAGACTTGGCGCATGCTCGGATCGCGCATACACGAACATAAGCTGGCTGTGAGACGAGGCGACGCATCATCACAAGTGGCCGTCCACGCCTACGAAATGTGTCACGAGTTCAACTTCACAACCACCAAAATAGTCGCCCACGCTGGAAACAAAACAGGCCGAGAATTGATTGGAGCCTGGGCCTCGGATGAGAACTCGATCAATCGATTTATCGATCTGGCGCCGGCGTACAGAGTCCTGCGTAGTCACATCTGGTTTTGCGCCGTCGGTCGATGATTGGTCTACATGCCTTATAACTGTCGCTCGTTCTGGTGCTGCTGCTACCTCTGACGATGGACTCCTGCACGAGTCCGAATGCCCAGGACAATAAACGAAGTGTTTTGGTGCTCGACCCTTCTTCTTCACCTGGTGCTTATGTTGGTGGGGAGGGGGGCAGTCTGTGCATGGTGCGCGCGCAGATAGGTTCACAAGATATGTCAGCCACCGCGCCCATTTCCCCCATCTGCCAACTGATCAGCTCGGACAGTGACCGCGGCCTGGCAATAGGAAGGGAGAGTGAGGTCGACGACTCAGAGTAATTTCTACACTATAAGCAATCTGACACTCTTGAAGCTCTCACTGTGCGCTAAAAGCCGGGACTTGGAAGGCTGCCACCTCACGGAATAACTTGGGCCTTGCAGTCAGCCCAGTGTTGTGTTTGTGTGGAATGGCCGACTGGTGGCCCAAGAGTCAGGCTGCAGTGGCTCCTTCTTAATGTGGTCTTTATGGCACTCCTAACCCGTGGAATTCGAGCCAGAAGTGACGGCACGCCTAGGTGCGGCTGCAGCCGTTGCAGCCACCCTTTCATTGTTGGTTAAATACCTGGTCATTTGCTGTGTAGACAAGGGGGCGTGGAGTGCAATGTTAGTGTGTGGGCTCGACGGTACCATGCACCTGCGCCCTCCCCCGCCTCCGGTCTTCTTGACAATGTCTTAACATCGGGTCCAGGGGGGAGGAGCGAGTGCGGTAGATGCGGCGTAAGTCACCATGCATACTTTATCTTGCTGCGGGGCATACGGTGGGCATCCTAGGAAACGACGGTCGAACTGTCATGAAAAACTAATGCTTAGAAAATTGACTACTTAAGTACTGTAAGCCTACGGATAACTTTCATAGTCCTTACGCCATTCACAAGCATAGTTATTTCACAGTCCGGACTGCTTGCGCAGTTATTTGTGCACACAAAAGACGAAGTAGGCGCCGGCATTGAGGTTCGGAGAACGCCCCTCAAGACAGCTGCTCCATCGGCTTCCTGTCCACTATTCACGCAACATGATAACGGAATAAATTATTCCGTGCATTTGATGAAGATTCTCCATAGTCAACTTTTACATAGGTTTGTAAGGGCGTGGTTACTGAAGCATCCTATCGAAGGGCCTTTGAAAGTCACTAAAGGCTACGTAGGTAATGGGCCCACAGTCAGATACTCGGATCTATGCCTGAATGTAGTGCTGGAAGTTGACTATTCGTGGCCTGGCTTTCCGAAAACCGTGCTTGGGGTTCGGATAACAGATCCCTCATGTTTTCGAAATCTACAGACTCTTTTTTGGTCCTCTCTGTAATAGTACATAAAAAAGCTGCAAGAGGTAAACATGATTATTTGATAAAACAGATAGTTGATTGGTGTTGGCATCTTCTTCATCAGCCTCCCCCGTCTCTGTACTAAAACTACGTGAGTAATTTTCGAAAAAGTAATTAAATGCGAAAGCAGGGGTGCTTTGATTCAACAAGACGGACTGTTTGGCACCATTTGCACAGCAAAAATGCACCGAGTTAAGCGGGAACCTGGAAGCGAGTATAATGAGAAACGTGCGAAAAGGCATTACGGTGGATGCGAAAGGTAAGAAGCAGACGTGAGGGCGGAATACGACAGCTAAGTCTGCATAGTCTTTAAAGGATAAAAATGCGTTTAAGCTCAATTTGTAAAATTTAGGTCTATACAAATTTCCGACAAACCCTACTTTAGTGGTGACTTTGGTTTGAATAAAAAGAACCTCCGATCCTTGCCTGTTTCCCGATTCTGCGTGCAAAGCCTTTTAGATATTAGAGTTAATTACGGTATTTTAGAGAGCTTTCGGGTGTTTCTCTATGACAAAAAATATTTTTGAAAGGAAATTTAGCCGAAAATGAGCTACGTAGTTTGGAGACCTGAAGTAAGTGTAAGTATCGTCTTCAAGTCTTTAAATATGCAGGTTGCTTCAAGGCAGGTAGAGATTGTCAGGCGTTTTGAGGCCGGACTGAAATAAGTGCGGAAAAACTATGAGTTGAAGAAAGGCTAGACGAGACAATTAAAGCAA